CTCCCCGCCCTCGGGATCCTCTTACCGGGACCTCCCAGGCGTCCTCTTCCTCCTCCGGCCGTGGTCACCCGCGGGCCCCAAAGCGCCCCGCAGCAATTCTCGGCTACGGGCGGAGGCGCGGGGACGGCCAGGACGCATGCGCGCGGCGCAGCCCGTGTAGGAGGCGGGGCCAGCCCCTCTCCTATTGGCCCGCGGGGCTGAGTGACAGCGGTCCTCTCTCGCCCCCTCGGGCTCCAAGCTGAGGAATGGGAGTATCAGCAAAATTGCAAGGGAGCTGTTCGTCGAAGCCTGACGAGTAGAGGGTGAACGCCTTTGGCTGCGTGCAAAAAAGAAGAGGAAGGAATGGAGGGTAGTTGTCTTCTTTATCAGCTGAAGCCACTCTCCCTGAACTCGGGCCTTCACCCCGCCCGATCAGCTCATGCCTATCTTGTTTCCTAACCATTAACTCTGCAGCAGACCGTATTCACAGCCCCAGTGAAAAATGCAAATGCAAATACGCAATCCTAACCGGAACAATGAAAGAATAAGTGAAGAGTCACCTCCGGGTGCTCACTTAGTGAACAAGTTTTCCTAGCACATGCAAGTCATTCTAATCATTCTTGAGAGGCAGAGCATTGTTTCTTTCACAGGGACTGAAATAAGCAAAGAACGTTCCAATGATAAATATCCAAGCACAATGTAATTGTTAGATGAAAGCATAAATTACTTCAAGTGAAAGAAATACCTTACCAAATTAATTAGATTGGCTTAGCCTTTGCCTGTTTTAAGGCAACACTATTTTCTGAAAAGATCATCAGATGTGATGTCAAAAGTCCAGGTGCACTTAGGTGGAAGAAAACAAAACCCAGAATATTTTGAATGGGTAGTACCTGAGCAATTTATAGCTTTTTTGTTTTGCATTATACACACACACACACACACACACACACATAACTACTGTCAGGCAGGAATAAGCAAGACAAGGGTCTATCAGCCTATTTTTTTACTTTTCTACTTTTGACAAATAAATGGGTACGAGAAATATTTCCTGCTTCTCATCTTTACTGATAAGATCTACAGTGCAATTGTGACGATAAACAGCAATCTACACTTTGACTCTGAAATGGAGACAATAGAGAGAGGTAGACAGGCACATACCCAACTAAAGGAGCAATGTGATACAGCTAGAGCCATTGTGGACTTTTGCAGGAATATTGGTACAGTATAGTCCAATTGTCTGCTTTTTTTCAAAATATAATGGAAATTCAGATTTTTATGTGCAATTTCTTCTTTTTTCTTTTTCTTTCTTTCTTTTTTTTTTTTTTATTTGAAGTCTCACTGTCCTAGGCTGGAGTGCAGTGACACACTCACAGCCACCGCAGACTAGACCTGCTGGGCTCAAGCGATCCTTCTGCCTCAGCCTTCCAAGAAGCTGGAACTACAGACGCACACCGCCAGGCCTGACTAATGTTTTGATTTATTGTAGAGACAAGGTCTCGCCAAGTTGCCCAGGCTGGTCTCGAACTCCTGAGCTCGGGCAATCCTCTCACCTCCAGCTCCCAAAGTGCTGGGATTACAGGCATGAGCCACCATGCCCTACCTTCTTTTTTTCAATATTCTTAAATTTTTATAAAATACTCTGTGATCAAAGTATGTTTCAGCCTCCAATAATAACAGTCAGTCATTAAAGCTGGAGAGTCCCTTTCAGAAAATCTAGCTCTACTTCCTCATTTCACAGATTAAAGAAACTGAAACCCCAAGAAACTTTATCAAAGTCACATAAATGAGTTGCATGGGTCTAGATGTCCTAATTCAGAAGCTAGAGTTTCTCCTGTCATAGGATTCATTCAGCAAATGTTCATTGAGAGCCTAGCATGTACCAGGTACTGTGCTAGATAAGTAGGAGATAGTATTTTCTCTCAAGGAGCTCAAGGAGTGGGATCCTTCCCAAGACCAGAGCGTTATGATGTAGATTTGTACAAAGCACTGTGGGAACCCATAGATGGGAGTGCCTTACTGTGAAGTCAGAAGCAATTCCAAAGAAATGTTTATAGGATCTTGAAAGGTGTATGAGTTCATCAGAAAGACAAGCTGGGAAAGGACAATCTAGGCAAAAAAAAAAGAAGACATAAAAATTCATTCTAACATAGGCAAATACAAACTTTTAGGAATTTATATAAGCTTATTTAAATAAAGCATAGTGCATAGATTGGAGAGACATGAGGCTGGAAAGGCAAGTGGGATTCTCATAATGAAACACCGCCATGCCATATTAAGTGACTATCTAATAAAAGTTAAACTATTAAACAATTTTAAGCAAAGGTGTGATTTATTCATAATTCCATGCTATGAATAAAATTCTGGGGAAGTGGAGAAAAATGATAAGGAAATAGCACTGAGACTGGAGGCAGAAAAAGACCATTTCAGAGGCTATTGCAATAACAACATTTTTCTATTAAAAATCTATCCAAGCTGGGCTCGGTGGCTCAGCCTGTAATCCCGCGCCTTTGGGAGGCTGAGGTGAGTGGATTGCCTGAGCCCGCGGGTTCGAGACTGCCTGGGCAG